CTCCTCAGTGAAGAAGTCCTTTGCTTAGCATTTCGAGACAATAAAGAATCTAACCAGTGGATCACATACCATCACCATCTCAGTCCACTACTTAACATGACCAAGTTGATCTCTCAGAAAAAGAGAGGAACCAAATGAACAAAAACCGTGGGTGGAAAACATGTACCACTCCACTTCTTTGGCATTATTCTGAGCATGTCTTCTCAGTGATTACTGTGAACACAGCTTAAGAGTTTAGACAGGGATACCGAGAGAAAAAAGAAAAGGACTAGACACTGAACCTGATAATCTGCCAGTTTGGACTCCTTATTTTGTAATTTAGCTCCATTATGAGAAAATTAACTGAGTTAAAACAAATGTGTACCAGCAATCAAGCAACAAGCATGAAACACTTTTGTTTTGCTTATTTAAGATAATTCAAGTAACAAACTTCTGATATTTTTTAAAAGACACAAAATGAAACAATGCAAAGTTTGCCTAATTTTAAGTATAAAATATAGAATTCATAATGTTTTCATGGGACTTGCCTGGTGGCACAGTGGTTAAGAATCCGCCTGCCAATGCAGGGGACATGGGTTCAAGCCCTGGTCCGAGAAGATCCCACATGCCGTGGAGCAACTAAGCCCGCGCACCACAACTACTGGACCTGTGCTCTAAAGCCCGCAAGCCACAACTACTGAGCCCGAGTGCCACAACTACTAAAGCCCGCACGCCTAGAGCCTGTGCTCTGCAACAAGAGAAGCCACAGCAATGAGAAGCACGCGCACCACAAGGAAGAGTAGCCCCGCTCGCCACAAATAGAGAAAGCTGGCACGCAGCAACGAGGACCCAACACAGCCAAAACATTAATTAATTAATTAATTTTTTTAAAAAAGGACATGTGGTTAAAGAAGTTTCTTTAATCTTTTCTGCAGTTGATTTGAATCTAATAGTTCTGTGTGTAAGAATAAACCACACTATTTCCAACAGAAAATGACCAAGCCTGGCCTCTACTTTTATCCTGGAAGGGATAAGCAGAGACCTGGAAGACATCTCAAACTCCTGGAGAGAGCTTCTAAATTTCACACTAATATCAGACAGGTAGCCAAACTAGACACACACACACACACACACACACACACACACACACACAATATCCTGAAGAGAACCAAGTCAAGCACGAAAATAACAAATGTCACTTATTGAAAGGATTAGCATGTCCTGTTCTGAGGCAGAATTTTATATAGTCTTCCTAACAATCCTCTTAAAGAGTGGTAGAATTCTAATTCTCTCCTATATAGCAGAAGAAGAAACCAAGTTCTAGAGATATCAAATAATTTACCCAACATCATATAACCAGAAAGTGACAGACCAAGTCCCAGAACCTGGAGTCTGTTTTGACTCCAAGCCTATAATTCTTTTCCCTCTATTTTGAAGGTTCTACTTTCCATAATGATCTACAAACATGTCAACTATTAAACCTAAGGAGGGACTTCCCTGGTGGCGCAGTGGTTAAGAGTCTGCCTGCCAACGCAGGGGACACGGGTTCAAGCCCTGGCCCAGGAAGATCCCACATGCCGCGGAGCAAGTCTGTGCGCCACAGCTACTGAGCCTGAGCTCTAGAGCCCACGAGCCACAACTACTGAGCCCACGTGCCACAACTACCAAAGACCATGCACCCAGAGGCCGTGCTCCACAACAAGAGAAGCCACCACAATGAGAAGCCTGCACACCTGAACGAAGAGTAGACCCCGCTCGCTGCAACTAGAGAAAGCCCGCGCGCAGCAACAAAGACCCAACACAGCCAAAAATTAATTAATTTAAAAATATATATAAATCTAAGGAGACTGAGTTTCCTACAGAACTCCATTTTTCCAGGTATGCCAATTTAGAAAAACTTCCTCACTCTGTCAACAGATGTTAAGACATTGTTAGGAGACAAATGAATCCATTTAAGGCTGTCTCTGAAAGGCAGGGGATAAAAGGGGGGTAATAAATCAGATATGAGTTACTGGGTTCATCCATCAGATTAGGAAGATGATAACAAAACAGACCACGAAGGGAAGCAAGACAATATTTGGTGACCCTTCTCCCTGGAATTCATGTACTCTGACTTCTAAAAGAAACTAATAAAATGGCATACAGAAAGGCATTTGTGGGCTTGACAACTGAGACCACTGCTAGATCATCCTTTCTTAAATGCAAACTATGCATTTGCAAGCAGCACCGTCTTTCAGAACACTTAAGGGCTCTGGGCCAACTGCTGGGGTCGAATCACAACTGGAAACAGTAAAAATCTGAAATGGAAAACTAGGCTATTCCCCTTGTGTGCCAGTTATCGACTGCTTGCCTTTCAGCTCAAAATTCAACTTGTCTGCCAGTACAGTGAAAATGGATCTGGCACAATGTAAAGCTTTGTCAGTAGAGGGCACTGTAAAGATATTGCAGGAGGAAAGGGTTTTGCTTCCTGGTTCCTGTGGGCATGCACAGCAGGCTCCTGCAGAACAGACAGCTTCTCCAGAACCTGACTTCCCCAGTGCCCAGCTGCTCTAGAGGGCGCTGCTTCTTCAGTGTCAGGATTCTGCTGCAATGTGCAGCAGCCAGCAGTACCCAGTAACTAACAGCTACCTCTGGTACCCTCTGAAGCCATTTTGCAGCAGAGTGCCTCCTAGAAGAAACAGCCCTGTGAAGAGATTTCCCTCAGCACCTTAGAAGGCAGAATTCTGGAAAGTTCCAGAGGGTGGATTTCTAGTAAGTTCCACTGATGTGGCACCACAGCAACTTCTCTACCATTCAGAGAACCACATCATGCCAGATCTCAGCCCAAGGTGGGGGGAGCAGTCTCCTAACAGTAGCATGAAATAAAGAGGCACAAGGTTGGACAGGCCTTTTTTTAGATTTTGGAGAGGACATACATTACACTTGAGTGTGATACACCTCGACCTACCTACAAAGTCATCTGGGAGGTTTCTAATTTTGATTGAGGGAAAGAACAAAAGGAGGCTCTGCAGTAAGTTAGGCTGCAACACAAGCTGCTCTACCACATGGGACCTGTGATCCAGCAGATTCAAGGTTATCGGAAGTGCCTGTGGCAGAGATGCTGTGAGGAGCCTGTAGCCATTGTGCACTGCAGCAGCTCTTTGCTAAAGGAACCGGTGCTAGAGAAGCCAGCTTTCCTCAACACTCCGTAAGATGAATTTCCAGCAAATTCCAGAAGAAGGATTTCTAGCACGTTCCACTGGTACGACACTACAATGACTTCTCTACGATAAGGTTATGCCACAGCCATGCACTCTCTGGTAACAGGGTGGAGAAGGCTCTTCCATGGGGGCTCCGTCTTGGCCCCAGGAGAAGCAGCTACTCCTTACATTTGTAATTTTTATATCATTTAGAGTTCTCTTTCTTATTAGCCAATCCCTCTGTACTCCAATCCCTTATTATATTTAATAATCCTTTATATTAAACTTTCCCTATTCAACTTACTACAGTTTTTCTTTCCTCCTGAGACTCAGACCAACATACCTGATTAATAGCGTGGGTGGTTCTGTTCACTGCCATGAAAACCAACACTAGAAACTCATCCTAAACAATTAAGAATTCATTTTGACATATTTTACTTTTAAAACTCAAAGTTAAACAAGAATGATTTAGACCGGGTTTAAGTATAGTACTAAGCCCAAATTAATTTACATATTCCTGAATAGCGCTATTTCAATCATGCTTTGGCAAGTTGTACATTCCTTCTCCAAACATTCTATAGTTTGAACTATCATTAATCAACCCTTAACTTATAATCACCAGCTTTTAGCATTATCTTCAGTAATTCTTCCTCTTATTATTCAAGCTCTTAAAGGCCTAAAATATAAAAGCCCAAATTGAAAATAATGTTATAATATTAATTTTTATTATTAAAAGGAATGTTTCTTACATGTAAATACTGACAATCCCAAAACAGCTTGGTTCAAGGTTATTGGCTTGACTCTCTCTACATTCCAGTAAGAGACTTCTTAACTCTACCCGACTCTTAACCACAAGGAAGACCAAATAAGCATGTAATGGTGAGTTGGTACAAGCTGAAAGATTTCTTGGGAAATGGCTTAAAATGCAGGGGACCCACAGCGACATCTTAAAACAGTTTGTGTCTCCTGTGCCTGTTACTTGGAAATAAACTAAGGAGTTCACTATTCTTTAACAGTTCAACAAAATTTTAAGCCTAACAAATTCCAATAATCTATTTATAAAACCAAACAAACAAAAAAACCCTCTAAAATTATCAATACTAAGAGGGAAAGACAGCCATATCTTTTACGAAAGTAGAAAATAACCACCAACACTCCACCAAAAAGCAAAAAGGGAGACTAACGGATTACACATTGAAAGGCAGACAAGTGCTTTATGAGATTTTTAATGAACTTTATAGAGTCATACTCTAATTTGTAAAACAACAAAAAGGAAAACTAAATATCACTGACAGTTTATTTTGAATGACTCCATAAATGAAATGTGTAAAACTGTTAGTAGTCACTATCATGGGAGGTGTGTCTAAAAAAATGTATAAGAGAAAATAGAAGTTACTCTTCAAGTAATGTTGTATGTTTGCTTAAAAGTTTGCTTTAGAAAAATAGAAATTCGGGCTTCCCTGGTGGCACAGTGTTTAAGAACCTGCCTGCCAATGCAGGGGACACGGGTTCGAGCCCTGGTCCGGGAAGATCCCACATGCCGCGGAGCAACTAAGCCTGTGTACCACAACTACTAAGCCTGTACTCTAGAGCCCGTGAGCCACAACTACTGAAGCCCGCGCACCTAGAGCCCATGCTCCACAACAAGAGAAGCCTGCGCACCGCAACGAAGAGTAGCCCCCGCTCGCCGCAACTAGAGAAAGCCCGGGCACAGAAACAAAGACCCAATGCAACCAAAAATAAATAATAACTAACTAAATAAATAATTTTTTAAAAAAAAGAAAAATAGAAATTCAGCTCTGACATGGAAATTTCTTTTAGGAAAAAAAAGGTTTTTCTTACTTGAGAGAGTCCAGGGGACGATGCATGTCCCGGGGGCGTTGCCGCAAGATTTGGATGCCCCTTGTTTATTTCATGTGCTGAGTAAGGGGAAGGGGTCGGGGGTCCCGGCTGTCTTGCTACTTGTGTTACCTGTGAGGAAATCAATTTAGTAAGAGTATTAATAATTCAATCTTCATAAATATTGCCAAAGTAGCTAATTTTTTAAATACGGAAGTATCTGTCTCACACTTGTGCCAGACTGACTAAAGGCTTAAAATTTCAAAATTGAATAAATGAAATTCCTAGAAAAAAAGACATGAATATTTTCATCCATTTGATAAAAGATTCTTGAAACATACCTAAAACTAAAAATCTTAAAGGAAAAACTATGCTAAATGAAAAAAGCCAGGCTAGAAACTACATACTGTATGATGCCATTTATATATTTTATAAAAGGAACAAAAAAGAAATAAATGATTACAAGGGAAGAGGATAACTAGGAAAGGGGCACAGGGAGATTCTGGGGGGATGACATAACTGTTCTGTATCATGTCTGTAGTGCAGATTACATCTCTTTGTGCTTGTCAAAACTAACAGAACTGTATACTAAAAAAGGTGAATTTTACTTTAGGTAAATTATACCTCAATAAACCTGAACCAAAAAAAGTTACCTATAGAGCATAATCTCATTTTTGTTTTTAAAAAAGTACATCTAAATATACATGTACATGCAGATGTACATGTATATATATTTCTATATGTGTATCTACATCTACATATGTGTGCATATATATAATATACTCGCAAGTATACATGTCATATTAAAAAGATGTGTAAGAAGATACACAAAGATCTTAAAAGAAAGCATGTAGGTGTTTCTTTTTTAGCTATTTTACCCAAGTTCTTAGATCCCCTGAATTCTACCAGAGAGTTAAAAACTCTACCCAGGGAGAAATGAAAGTGGTCTCCAAATGACATTAGATTTTCCTGGAATTCACTCAATCAGTCAGAGGCTCTGAAGAAAGTCTACTCTCTGATAATCTAACCCTAGAATCCATTCTGTCTATCTAAAACAGAAATAAATGGCTGAAGACTCAGCTACCTGTTCCCAAAGCTGAAATAAAATGGACTCACGGACAACTAACTACAGTAAAAAGCTTACAGGCTAGTAAGAGACACGAATATGCTAAAATGTGACCAAAGTTTAAAATTGAAATTAATTGTATTTAATTTCTTCCCTGCTTTTTAAATAGCTTTATGATTTCCTTGAAAAACTTTGTTTCCAATTTGGAGTGAAAATTACATTTATAAGGGCATGAGGTTTACCATGAAATGTTACAGCATTTATAAATCTCATCAGGGCAATTTTTCAAAGGATAAAAGTCAGAATGCTATCTAAACATCTACTTTAGAAAATTAATAACCAGAAATGAAGAGTTCTTACAAGCAAATTTCTCACCAACAAGGCTTTATAAATTCATATTCTTGTTTCACACACTTTAGAATAAATTATTTTGATATTCTACTAAAGCAAAGCATCAAAATGAACACATATTTTTAACATTAGGAAAAAAATTTTCACAATGAAATAAAGTGAGAGAAGTTAGCTATATAAAATGTCAGGTCAATTCTCCAATTCATTCTGATAAAACAATCAAAGATTAAATTTACCCAGGGCAAAAAATCATAATATGGAAAAATGTTTTTCAAATTGCTATTAAGAATAAATTAATATTAAAAGATACTATTACATGGCCATACTACCCAGAGTGATCTACAGACTTAGTTTGATCCCTATCAAACTACCCATGACACTTTTCACATAACTAAAACAAATAATCCTAAAATTTATATGGAACCATAAAAGATCCAGAAGTGCCAAAGCAACCCTGAGGAAAAAGAACAAAGCAGGAGGCATAACCCTCGAGACTTCAGACAACACTACAAAGCTACAGTAATCAAAACAGTGTGGTATTGGAACAAAAAACATATATATGGACGAATGGAACAGAATAGAGAGCAAGAAATAAACTCACACACCTGTGGTCAGTTAATCTTCAACAAAGGGGACAAGAATATACAACGGAGAAAAGACAGTCTCTTCAGCAAGAGTGGTGTTGGAAAGTTGAACAGTCACATGTAAATCAATGAAGTTAGAACACACCCTCATACCACACACAAAAATAAACTCAAAATGGCTGAAAGACTTAAATATAAGACACAACATCACAAAACTCCTAGAAGAGAACACAAGCAAAACATTTTCTGTCATAAACCGTACCAATGTTTTCTTAGGTCAGTCCACCAAAGGCAATAGAAATAAAAGCAAAAATTAACAAATGGGATCTAATCAAACTTATAAGTTTTTGCACAGCAAAGGAAACCATAAACAAAATGGATAACCTACAGACTGGGAGAAAATATTTGCAAATGATGCAACCAACAAGGGCTTAATTTCCAAAATACAAAAACAGCTCATACAACTCAATAACAAAAAAAAAAAACCCAACTGAAAAGTGGGCATAAGACCTAAATAGACATTTTTCCAAAGAAGACATACAGATGGCTCATAGGCACATGGAAAGATGCTCAACATTGCTAATTATTTGAGAAATGCAAACCCAAACTACAATGAGGTATCACCTCACACCAGTCCTAATAGTCATCATTAAAAAGTCTACAAATAACAAATGCTGGAGGGGGTGTGGAGAAAAGGGAACCTTCCTAGACTGTTGCTGGGAATGTAAATTGGTGCAGCCACTATGGAAATAAGTATGTAAGTTCCTTCAGAAACTAAAAATAGAGTTGCCATATGATCCAGCAATCCCATTCCTGGGAATATACCCAGATAAAACTAAAATTCAAAAAATTATGTTCACAGCAGCACTATTTACTACAGCCAAGACATGGAAATAAAGAAGATGTGGTACACACACACACACACACACACACACACACACACACACAATGGAATATTACTCAGCCATTAAAAAGAATGAAATAATGCCATTTGCAGCAACACGGACGAACCTAGAGACTATCATACTAAGTGAAGTAAGTCAGAAAGAGAAAGACAAACACAATATGATATCACTTATATGCGGAACCTAAAATACAACACAAATGAACATATCTATGAAAGAGAAACAGACTCACAGATATAAACTGACCTGTGGTTGCCAAGAGGGAGGGGGGTTGGGGAGGGATGGAGTAGGAGTTTGGGGTTAGCAGACGCAAACTATTATATATAAAATGGATAAACAAGGTCCTACTATATGGCACAGGGAAGCATATTCAATATCCTGTGATAAACCACGAGGGAAAAGAATACGAAAAAGAATGTATATGTATAACTGAATCACTTTGCCATACAGCAGAAATTAATACAACATTATAAATCAACTATCCTTCAATAAAATTTAAAAATAAATAAAATATATTACTACATGCATATCACAAATAACACAAATAATAAGTTTTTTTTTTAAACTTCACCCCAATATTGCCAAGGATCTAAGGAAACAGGACACAGACAGGATACTGTGAATGGGTTTACCATGTCCCCAGAACTACAGAGCAATGCATCACAGCTGCCTTAAAACCACACCCAAAGAATGATTCCATTTTGGAATACATACCCTGAAGAAATAATCTTACCTCAAAAACTAGGAACCTAAGTATATGAGAGCAAAAAAGGTAGAAATAGCAAATAATGAGAAAATAAAGTAACATAACTGAAGACATAAAAAATACACAGATGTGAACTGCCACCAATTGAAATGAATATGTGAAATAATCAAGAGTAAAAAAGAAAAGATACACCCTTTAGAGCTACAAAGAGATTCCTCTATATTCTACTGACAAAAACCAAAATAACTAAATCAATGATTTCAGATAAAGATTAGTGTTCAGCGCACCGCAACTAGAGAGCCCGCGTGCCACAAACTACAGAGCCCACGGGCTCTGGAGCCCGTGCGCCATATCTAGAGAGAAGCCCGTGCACCGCAAGGAAGAGCCTGAGTGCTGCAACAAAAGATCCCGTATGCCACAACGAAGATCCCGCGTGCCACAACTAAGACCCGACACAGCCAAAGATAAAAAATAAATACACAAATATTAAAAAAAAAAAAGATTAGTGTTCATGTTTCCCTGAAAACTGCTTAAGTGCACTTTTTAGAATATTGTCATCACCCCATGAAATACAGATGTCTGACAAAAGGAGAAAAGGCATTTAGCCAAAGCACACGCTACTGCTAACATCAAAATTTTCCTTAAAGCAAGCACCAGTGAAAAACAACCTTCAGGCAAATATCCCTGAGGTATGCATTCTCTGCTGTTCCTAAAGGGGTAGGCAAATTGCAGGAATCCTTTGGTATTGTATATTCTAGTAGAGTATTCCCTTCCAAATTTGGAGATTTCTACTAATAAAAGCAAACCAAATAAAATAAATCTGTATCAAAATAATAGGAGAATCATGTCATTCTTAAAAATTCTCCCCAAAAAAGCTACTACATGCAATAAATCTCTGGCCTTCACTGTGATCTATTTAAATCAAAAAGACCCCCTATTACAAGTGTCATACTGCATTATGTACCTACATGTTTGCTTTTGGTGTACTATAGAGCTTACTATCTTTGCCCAGGAAAAAAGTATACCATCTTCAATTAGAAATTATACAAAATATAAGTAGGTAACACAACCCTATCCCAAGGAAATGGCACAAGGTCTAATGAAGTTGTTGAGGATAAAATTCAAAGTTACATGAAACTTTGAATATCTTCTTTCAAAATATTCCTAGATGAATGATTATTGAATTTTCTAGTCTCTGGCTACAGTTTCCTCTCCTCTCTGGCTAACTTATTCCATTTCAGATCATACTGTTATAATCCATGTCCTTTGAAGGTAGTGACAAGAGGTTCTCATGTAAAGGGGAAAAAAACATGTTTTCCCATTATTTATTATTAGTACCGCCTCAATTATGGAGGCTGGGAGTAGAAGTATAAAGTAGCTAATTATGGCAAGTACTTAACCACCTCCAAAGCTAGAAAGATTTTTGTCTTTTATGTAATATTCATCTTAAGCAAAATTAATCAAACATTTTGTGGTATACAGTGTGTGTGTGTGTGTGTGTGTGTGTGTGTGTGTGTGTG